AACCTTATCAGTACGTTCTGGAATTTTCTGCAGATGTGATGCTTCTTGTATAATTTATCAAAACTTCTAAAGAGATTTCCACACTTCAGAAAAATATTTGGGAAAAGCTGCTAAAAGGAGGAAATTATTGATTGTTGGTTTAGAAATATTACACATGAAATTAAGAATAAATCCTATCCACTTCTGTCTGTGACCCTTATTATTCCACAGAATGGTTGGCATCTCTTGTCCTTTTTCCCCCAAGTGTCCCAAATAAGCAGCAAACATTTATTTGAACAGCAGCAAACATTAATTTGAATTTGTAGGGAATACTATACACAGCTCTGGAATGTTTTAATTCTTTTTTCCACGTGGGCTTTCAGCTTGGAGTATTGTTGTTAGGTCTTAGTGTCCCTTTATAAATGTAAAAGATATTAATTCTTTTTAGTTCAATCTTTACCTGTTTTTTTTGAATAGCATCTTTTACTTCTGTATAGTAACCAGCAATCCCTCTGTCATGATAGCCCTATTTTCAGTGTCAGGCACTTAGTATAAAGGTTAATTAAATTTCTGCTGGAGAAGAGCACTGTAGAATTTTTTTCTGCAGTTGGCTAGGCGATAACTTTGACAAGGGTGGGTAAAGAAGAAGGTCTTACACTTGGCAATGCAGCAGCTGGCTTTTTCCACTTTGGAAACTGAATATGTCATTGCCTTGATAGATGTAGCTTTTAATTCCCTGGGAATTTCTCTTTCAACTTCATGAGAGACTAAAGTTCCCCCAAAGGTCTCTGACTTTCTTTCACTGTAGCCATTGAAGTGTGGCATAATTGGCAGGGGATGCTTTTTCTCATGACTGGCTTGGTTCTCTTTCATGTTTGATAAATATTATTAAAAGAGTAATTTCTGCTCATTTCTCTTAGCTGTAAGGGGGCAGTTAAATACATGTACTTGGGAACCTGTGTAATTTTCACACAGGCTATAAATGACATAATGCAGGTAGTGTCTGTGGTCAGCAGCTAACATTTGACAGCACAAAACCCTTGCACAAATGATAATTAAAAAGCTCTAATTTGAACCAAGAGCTCCAGAGTTACTTATGCTACTCAAGGAGATTTCTCAGTAATTTGCCTCTGCAGCTGCTTGTGAATGATCTTATTTTCTTTAAATCCTCTTTCAGAGGGTATTTCTGCTACTTTTCCTCTCAAGGCCTATCACTAAAAATATGTTCTAACCTCATGTTGCTCCCCTGTCTTCCTACCACAGACTTTTTGTACTGACTTGTACCGCCCTTAACTGCATAAAGAAAAATAATCACTGTTCTAAAGTACTTTAAAATCCATGCAAAAGAGAATATAAAAGAGTTCATGTGACCCTGTTTTACTTGGTAGCTGCAGAAAGTGGGTAAATTTGTTTTAAACTGAGACAAATTTGAAATCTTCGAGTATAAACAACACTTGGAAGGAATTTCTGGGATTGTGTACTTGATTTATACAATATGTGTGAGTGCAATGTATGATTGGGATGTCATTGTGCTAAATATGTTGGAAGAAAAGATGGTATCTATCCTCTGTACCTTATTGAGAGGTCTCAAATAAGTTGCAGAACAGGCAGGAACCTGTGAAACCAGTGGTGGGAGTTGGTGCATGCAGGTTCCAGTGTCACATGTTGGTCTTTCAAGTACAATGCCATGGTAGAAAACATGAAAACACTTCTTAATCTGATCTGCTGAAAGGCTTCTGTGCCTGAAAGCTTTCTTATCAAGTCTGTCACTTAGTCTAATAAAAAAATACTCCTTCTCTTTAAGACCATGTAGATTCTTAGAGAGTTGGCTACAACAGCGTTGCTTCCACAACATGTGATGGATTAAAATAGAGGCAGCAGGGAAACTGGATTAATCCATTTTGATTTTCATTTGCCTAATGGAAGATATGCTTCTCCCCACTAAAATAGAGACCATAATACATATGTCTAAAATACATACCTAATGCGTACCTAATTACATTAATTGGTTGGCCTTTATGCTGCCAACTTTTTTTTCCTTCATGTAACAAACTGTGGCTCCAGTGGTTCTCCAGTGGGACAGAACTGACATGGAGACTTTGTTTGAGCTTTTACAACTATCAGAATATATACTACTAGGCTAAACTAAAGTCTTCTTCTATGGCAGCTTATGTTCAGTTTAAACCTAAGCCATCTCTCTCTTTTTCCTAGTCATGACTCCTCTTTCATTGTCTCCTGGGGCCCTGACATACCATCTATTCCACATGGAACTGAGGGAGGTTGCATTGCTGTAAAATACTTCTCTTCCTTTTTTCCCCCCACTCTGGACCAATTTGTGCTCTCTGTTAAGAAAACAGGCAGGGAAGATGAATTTGCTCTTCACCATGCAAGGCTAAAAAAGACAGTAAGGCTTTGGGTGAAATTGCTGTATATGTAAGAAAGCTGAGACATTAACTAGTAACGATGCAGTAACGTTGGATGAACAAAGGGTGTAGCCATTCCCTTGAAGAGAGCACAATTGTACTGACCCCCATGCTTCTGAAGCACAGTTTGGAGGCATTCTTGATGCAGTTCTAATAATCTTTATCAATTTGTGGTAAGTTAGCTGCTTAGAAATTCTGTGGTCTGGTGGTTTGTGCTTATTAAAAACTAAGCACTATTGCAGAGTTCTGTGTATTTGTGTGTGTGTGTGTGTGCCCAGGTTTACAGGAGTAAGAGGTTTTCTAGTGCATACCTGTAACTTAAAATAAAAACCCAAAATAAAAAAGGCTCTGCAGTCAATGCTATTTCATTATATCAGTGTTTCAAAAACTTTTAGCTTGACTTAAACATGAGGCATTTGTTGTTATCTGAAAGATTTACCACATACAGGTTTTTGTGGTAGGAAAAAGAGTAGTAGGAAAAGCAGAGGAGAATTGTGTCTTTGCTTAACCCTCACCTCAAAGCCGTGCTCTTTTGTGGCATTTCTTTCTAATTTGTGTGAGCTTGTGTGCTTTGATCAATGGAAGTGTGAGGGGAGGGTGACGTGGGTGTGACTGTGCTGGTCACATCTGTTTCAAAGGATCAGTTCTGTGTCAGTTCAGCAAGTACCAAGACTGTTCCTTTCCTTTTTTCATCCAACTTAAAGCCTATGTCATTGCATTTACCATTAAGTTGTGAGAACAGGAGGAGTATGAAATACACTACTAATTAGGTACCTGGAATTAGGGCTGCATATGTGAGCTTGGGTCTTATTGACTGTGTGCCTTGCCTGGGCAGATTCCTGTGTCAGCTATTTGGATGTTCAGTGTGAACACCTGTGTAACTGAAAGCAAAACTGTCCACAGTATTTAGTTACATGACATTTTTTCCTCCCAAGGCTCCCTTATAGATCAGTGTGCCTGACAGATAGCATTCAGTAAATGAGGCAGCTGCTTAATTTTTGTCATTGCTGTTCACTGCACAGTCCCTCTGAAATCCTGCATGTTGCAAATTCTTCCATTAATAAAAACTGCATTCTTTCCTGCATGTCTTTTTTTGGCATACTTGGAAGTCTCACAAATGTGAGTTGACATACTGGGAAGTATTGTTTTTATTTACTGTACGAGGAGGTGGGACATAGCAACTTTTCTAAATCAGGGAAGAAATCTCCATCTGAGCCAATCTTCATCAGTTCCAGTTAGAACTTCAGAGCAGTCTAGACCAGTTTATTCACTTCAAATCTGACCTTTTTATCTTTGATCGTGGTTCAGCCAAGCCATCTCCTGCAAGTCAGGTTCTTTACACAAACTAATTTCTTGTGCTTTGAGGACTGTGAAAGGATTAAGGCAAGAATCCTGAAGAAGCAAATTGCATCCAATCATGTAATCTCATTGTGTTTAATCCTGTAAATCACTTTGATTGAACTATAAATTACTTCTAGTATGTATTTTTTTCTTTCCCTTCTTTTTACTTGAGGTGCAACTTGACATAAAGGACTTCTATGGACGTAGGACTATAATAAACAACAAACATATGATTTAACTAGTTCATGATTCTATTTTTTCAAATAAGATTATCATACTCTTCCATAATTCCATGCGTTTATGTTGGTGAAGAAAACAGTTCTGTAAACTGGAGGAGATACAGCACAGTTCCAATAAATACATTGTTAATGGTTAATGTTCTTGTTAAGAAATCTGTTTCTATAGTAACTGCTGCAGATTGTCACTTCCTCTAGCATTTGGAATAGTACCAAAGTGAATTTAACACTGATGCTGCGAGGGACAAATCCTGTGAGAGCTGCAGTGGATCACTGCGAGCAGTGTGCTTTATTTGGTATGGAGATGTATGAACACACAGTTCAGTAACCAGAGAGGGTGTTTAAGAGCTCTTTCTTCCTACCCTTTATTCTTATGGTCTGTGTGCACTTACTTTTTTCCTTCTACACAAAGACTAGTCCTCATTTCAGTCTTATAACAAGGGCACATAAAATACATAGGTATGCTTAAGATTTTAATTTAAAAAATTGTGCATGTATATGCTACTAATTTAAATGTCTGTGAAGAGATTCACCACACATGATATTTACTAATAAAAAGGGAGTCAACATGGGGCATATATCTGTGGCTCAAGATTTGGAACAAAGCCCAGGTGAGTTTTAAAGGGTGTGTTTGTCTTATGTTGTACTAATTGTGTTTCTTCACTGAAACATAGTGAAAGCAGGTTTTTCTTCTCCGTATAGAAGTGTGTATCCTCAGGTGAAGTGGATGTTTTCAGTGGCTGTGTATTCTGTTTCACTGCATGTTTGCATCTAATTTTGTTTGTCTCTTGAGTTGAGACTGGTCCAAGGAAACTCTTGATCAAGTAAAGGCTGAACCTTTTTTAAGGACAGAGAAAAAGACTACAGAGAAGATATATTTTCTTTTTGGCAGCCACAGTTTCAGTGCTGGTGTAATTCTGAGAGAAACAGAACTTTGTTTTTGCAAATCAGTGTGTTTGCATGCACTTGCAAGCACTTGGGGATGTTACAGAGACTTCCTTCATGCATTATTTCTTTCCAGATGGACGAGATAAAAGGCAAAGACAGGGTGATTCTGGCTCTGGAGAAGGACCTTGGTGTCCAGGCAGGCCACACGCAGAAACTGCTCCTTCAGAAAGAAGCTTTGGATGAGCAGCTTGTCCAAGTGAAGGAGGCAGAGCGATACCACAGTAGTCCTAAGAGGGAGCTTCCTGCAGGAGTGGCAGATATCAGCGAACTGATGGGAAGTCCGGTAAGAAAATGGTGTTTTCTCTGAAGTTCAGCTCTGGAGAACTGCCTGGGTGTTCACATTGGTTTTGTGGTTACTGCTAGGACCAGTTAATGGTAAATGGCCTGATTCTGCACTGTGCTGTTTTACTGATGATTTAAAAACTCCTTGGACCTCTTAAATTGCAAGGAATATTGAGAAATATGTGGATATAGAACTTCCAGAAATTACACTGTAATCTTGAGCTGTGAACCTCAGTATTTTCTCACTATTTCATTAATTTAGGGATATTTTAACCATTAGAAAATAGGTACTATACTTCTCAAAAACTGAGCCATGTGATTTTAATCTATGTCCTTTACACTAGAACTATTTTAGCTGAGAGTGAGAAATCTGGTGAGAAGTAACCTGCTATACATGAAATATTATTTACCTAGATAGTTTTTTTAATTCTTAAACTTTACAGGCATTTCACAAGATGCTGTTCATGAAGCATTTCCCCAGGATGTTATTATTTCATGTTTCAGTTAATTATAGTAAGTTTTCCAGATACTGATGTACGAGTGTGTTTCAAATTTACACAATACAGTTGCTAAGCTATGATATTAAACTATGGACAGTAAAATATTTTTAAAAAGTAATTTTATAAATCTGTATGTTTTTTTGATGTAAAGGAGCAGCATCTGGATGAACGAGATGTGAGGAGATTTCAGTTAAAAATCGCTGAACTGAATGCTGTAATAAGAAAGCTGGAAGACAGAAATACTCTCCTAGCAGATGAAAGAAATGAACTGGTAAATTAATTAGTAATAACACAGATGGTGACTGGGAGGGCATCTTTATGGCAAAAGATTTAATGTTGGAATGTCAGTGTTATAAATAATTTACGAATTAGTCCTGGTTGGCCTCAGTCAATTTTATCTAAATGTAACAGAGATTTCTATAGAAATTAATCTTGTGACCATGGAAGACATGGATAGAACCATTCCTGTTCCACAAAAATAAAAATTTACATATTTGTTTTGGGGTCACAGTAATCAAATTAGCTGGTATATTGCCTGTAGTACTGTGTAACGATGTTGTGTAAAACATGCATAATCCATGCACTTAAATTGCTGTATTCATCCTTTTGAAATTTGTGACATGCTTATGCTAGCTAGGAGTTTAAAAAGCTGAATGATGAAAAATCTGCCATTTCTCAAGGGAAGTCTCTTAAGTAGGTGAAATTATCCTAGAACAGGGATAGTAACTTAGACAAAAAGGATATGACATGAATTTTAAGAATGAATTTTATCAGCCTTTATCAGTACTTAATTGCTTGCACTGAGGTTAATGGTAAAACTCCCACTGACTGCAATGGGAGGTGAGTTTCACAATAGGAATTTTTACACATGTCCCTTAATGCCTAATTCTAGTGGCAGTAGTGACATCTCCTTCCTTGTTAATCCTTTCTGTGGGGCTAATTAATGCAAAACATCCCTGAAGGATGCTGAAGTATTGCAATGTATCCTTCACTGTCCCTCTAGATGGAGGGCATGTAAGACTCAGTCAAGTGCTCATCTTGATTCTAGATTCAGTGGCATAAGGAATATATTTTGAAAGAGATGTGGAGCAGGTATTATATTATGAGACAATAGTAGACATAAAATCAGTAGTATCAGGAAGGCCATGTGATTAAGGACTGTGAAAAATAATTTTCTCAAGAGTGAAACAGAAAACCAAATACTCAGTGAATTTATCTCAGGAAAACCAATATGATCTCTTTCTCCTTTCAGAAAAAACCAAATTTTTAAATCTTTTGACTGAGAAAATTAGATTTTTCCCCCAAACAAAACAGCTCGTGGAGTAAAAACAGTGAAATATTAAATACACACAAATGCAAGGAAGAGCAGTAATTTGCTTCATGTAATTGTCTAACATTATAAAACCACAGGAGCAAAATTGAGCAGCTTGAAAATGTCAGCAGAATGCTGAGATTGAATCTGTGCCCTCTGGCTGACTTTCTCATTGCTCTAATTATGCATTAAGAGGAGGAAGAGTGTCCTCCTCTTAAGGGATGGCTAAATTGGTGAAAACAACTTGTCTAGAGACCTAGTTGGTCACAAGAAGCTTATACAAATTGAGATTAGTTCATAAAGAAATCACTATGTTTCGTCATAACTGTTTGCCAAGAGCAAAATCCAGTGACCAGATTGAGTGTTTTGGCAGACAATACAAAAATGTTATATCTTGCTTATTTGGACTTCTGTAGTTCTTAGTTCAGCAGTGGTGTATGTCAGATGCCATTTAGCAGGAGAACTAAACTTGCTGAATTAAGCAAGGCAAGTGAAAACACACCTATTTTTTCTTTCCTTCAAAGGTGAACTAAAGCACAGCTAACTTCATTCCTTTGCCATTTGCAGCTGAAACGTTCTCGGGAGACAGAAACTCAGCTGAAGCCTTTGGTAGAAAAAAATAAGAGGATGAGCAAAAAAAATGATGATATGTTACAATGTATCCAGAGAATGGAAGAAAAAATAAAAAATTTATCGAGGGAAAATGTAGAACTGGTAAGTAACCATCTCTGGTAAGTAATCATCTCCAACGTCACGTTATGAAAGCGCATTGCACATGGTTACTTTGAGGTGGAAGTGCTTGTGAGGCTTTTATTCCAACAAACACATCAGTCTCCACACTGGGATGGTGCAACTCTCAAATGCAGACAATACACCTGAATACTCATATTCTAAATTCAGAGTGGCATGTACTTTGTGTTGTATCAATTCACACTGATTAAGGGAAAGGAGCCCAGATAGATAAAATGCTTTTGCGGGCTGTAAAAAGCTGTGACTGAAAATCAGCTTTAATAAATACTGCTTTTATGATTAGAAGTCAGAAGTGAATTTGAGTGCATGCACAATGTCAGATCACTGAGTTCATTTGTCTGCTAATATTTTTTCCCCAGACTGTTCTTTTATTCTGTTCTAAAATATTTTATGTGAGAGATTAATAGAGGCACATAGAATGTGAGGATATTTTTTGTTGAAAGAGGCCTTGTGTTGTAGTGGAGTATGCACTGATGGGTTCAAAGAATTCTTGGTTGCTATATCACACATGAGAGTTTTTCTCCTGTTGCAGCAAGACACTGTAAAACATTCTTTATGTTTTTTATTTTTGTAGAAAGAAAAGTTATCTGCACAACCAGCACTGAAGAGGCACACATCTTTGAATGATCTCAGCAGCACACGAGAGGAACAAGAAATTGAATTCCTTAGACTGCAAGTCAAAGAACAACAGCATGTTATTGATGATCTCACAGTGGTAATGTTTATGACTGGTATACACATGTGCATGCACACACATCTATAGGCAAGCTAAAGATTTGAGAGGAATGCTTTAACTCCAGGTGTAGTAGTGATATAGAAACACTTCTTTGGTGTCAAAGGGTTTTTGTTTTTTCTCAGGTAGTGAATGAATTTTTTTGGAATGTGTATGAATCTTTGTATTAAAAAATATTTACCTATTACGAGCTGCTTGTGAAAAAAAGTGCATGATCAGCCATACTTACAAAACTGGCTGTCAACAAATGAGGAACTTGAGTAATGGAGACTTTCCAAAACTTAAAGACTAAAACGTGTTGGATGCAAACCCAAGCACTCCTCTGATCTAGAAGTTCTCCTGAAAGAAGGAAACGTGGTGTCGTTAATTTCATCTGGCCAAGCATCTCTAGCTGAGCTGGCCATACAAGCTGTATTTAAAAAAGATGGGGAGAACTCTGTATGGGTCATCAAAGCAAAGGTAGCAGCATGGTTTAGGATTAGAACTGCCCAGCTGCTGCCCTCTGACTCCAAAGCCTTCTGAGGGTGATGCTCATGGATGTTCGGTGTTTGATCAGGAACCCTTCAAGTTGTGGTTGATGAGGAATCTTTCAAGTTGTGTTAGAGGTGTCTGGTGCTATTTAGTGCAATTTGTGACAAACCCTTCTGGTGCTGGCAGAAATTTACACATAATCTCTGAGAGACCCTTTCCATTCCTGGAGCAGCATCTGGAACTCAGGCAGACTCAGACATCTCAAATGGCACTTCTGACTGCTGCAAAATTATAAAAAGAATTTAAAAGCCTTCTGTCTAAATAGAAAATTAAAGAATTGGATACATCATTGAAAATAAAAATAGAAGGCCCAAAAAGGAAAAAGAAGAAGGTGTGTTATTGCTGTATGTGGAACATTGTCTCAGTTCCTGGCAGTTCCTTTGAGATTTTGACCCAGGATTTTTCTCTGAAATCAGTGCCAAAGTTCAATGTCTGTGTGCATTCTCCAGTGTCCCAGTTACAAGCAGTAGGATGTTACTCAGGTGCTATGATGTAGGGTCTGGTCCACAGAGAGATGCTGCTTTAGCTTCCAAATAAAACTGCATAGGCAGGGGTGGTGATATCACATTAGATGTGCAGTATATGGGAGATAAAACCTCACTTATATTTCAGTGCAAAGTGGGTATGAGAGGACTCTCTTTTTACTGTTTCAGCTAGTGATACGAGGAAATATATTGTATCCTGACTTTGGTCAAATAATATTAACTTGTATTTAGTGTGAAAGTAAAATAAATAAATATTTTAAAATATTGTTTCATTTTTGCTTTGTTTCCTACTTACAGATACTATTCCACTTGCAGAAATTATTTAAATTTTTAACTAGGAAACTTCTTTGGTTCCAGTACAAACTAACTGAGCCTTTGCCTTTGATGTGAATGCAGTGGAATTCTGTGCACTGTTACTTTTGAGCTCTCTTTTCTGGCCCAAACCACACCTCTACAGACTACAAATGTATCATAGTTACCAAGAATGACCCAAATGTCCCATATCTGATTAATACAACAATAATCACCTTAACTGCAGCTGAGAGCAATATGACACATGGAAATAAGAACAGTAGTCTTAGGCAGTAGGGTTGTCTGAACTGATTAACAGTGTCATCTGTAGGCTGTCTTTGATGCTGTTAAAACCTTGTCAACATGACTTCTCTCACAACAGGGTGTTCTGGTCAGTTCTTAAAAGGAAAGCTGTCAAGGTAAACTCAGATGACTGCAAAAGATGCTAGTGGCTTTTAATTTGCGTTATTATTGTTCTGGTAGCTTGATTTATGTTGAAGAAGTCAATTAAGCAGACTTCTTACAAACAAGGCTAGAAACAGGAAGACTGGGATTTTGGAAGTGTTTGTTCATTCTGCACTGCATTTGTTTGGACACCTGCTCAGGAGGCAGAATACCCCACTTGAAGCAGGAAATGTGCCTTAAATGGACATCTGAGAAGAGGGCACTCTTCTTTAACAGTATAAAATTCAACTGTTTGGTTTTTTTAGCTTAAAATGTTATATTATTCTGCAGCTTGAAATACCTGCACCATTCTACCTTTGCAGTCCTTACTTTTCCTTATTTTTCAAACTACATGTATTCAAGGTGCTGTGTAAGTTGTTGTATTTCTCTCAGTTATTTTGCATTTTCCAAAACTTATTTCCTGGAACAGTGTGCTGATAAATAATTTTGTTGTGATTTCTACTGTGAGCTTCCTATTTTTCCAGTTTCTGAACAGAATGCAAAGCAAATAACAGAATAGAATAATATCACACACTGAGCAATAACTGCTAAAGAAGCACTTGGAACTGCAATCTGTCTTTTAAAAATAGAGGTGCTGCAAACAAAGATGCAGAGCTAAGGAGAGAATCAGAAAAAAGCAAGAAGACAGAGCACCTGCCTCCTGTATTGTTGGGGTTTTTTGGCTTGCTCCTTCGCATTTTTTTACCTTCTCTTCCTCCTCTTCTCCTTTGGAATTTCAGGCAGTATTCTTGGATTTAGACGAGCATAAATCTTGCATTTGCAGTCATGACCTCCTCATGTCATGGTATAGTTTGTTGTGATCTTGCACCAAAAGCGGAGTAGAAAAAAGACAGCGACTAAGTTGACACAGACTGAGTGCCTTTGGATTTGATACTTTTGCCCTACAAGGATAAGTCAGATGTAACACTCTATCTGCATATGCATGCTTGTATATCAGAATATGTCTGATATAATAACTTTTAAGTACTAAGACTGGACTAAGTTTTGGCTACCGACCTGCTGCTTCAGGATGGTTGAACACTGGAGTGACACTCTGAAATCTGTTTCCATAGTGAGCTTCTTGGTAAAAGAGTCAAAAGAACTGTCAGAAATCTGTGCTCAGTATTTACCAAAGCCTTTTCTTGCCAACTTCCCATCAAATGCGTGAAGTACGTGGCTGAAGGTTTGCTAAAGGCATAAAGCTGCAGTGCAGTGTGGTGTAACATGGTGTTATTCAAAAGGATAAAGACATCATGTTAGCTTTACCAGAGGCTTAAAGAAAATGCTAATGATATTTCTCTGTGTTAGACATATCTAAGTATAGTTTTAAAACAAACCCATACCAAAATGTTCTCTTTCCTTCTAGGAAAGAGAACGGTTATTGCGGTCTAAAAAACAGAGGAGGAAAAGTCTGAAGCCTCCAAAGGTGAGCAAACCTTCGGTTTTTCGTGCATTTCTGTTGCTGTGAACAACCCCTCTTTCAAATACTGCCTGAATTTAAAGCTCTGCTTAATGAGAAAAATCCATGTAATTCTTCTGCTTACTCTGGTGAGTGCTTAATTTTTTAGGGTAATTCAAGAGTTTTGTACTTCACACAAGTGATGTTGTTTAGGGGTTTGTTTTAAATAAACAATAAAATTACACTTTTAGCTACTGTAGCCTAAATATCAAGTGACTTGAGGCATAACAGTTTAATGGCTTGAAGCAACTACTGTTTCAAAGGACAAATATTCAGTCTTTAAAGAACATACCCCCTTTAAACTACTTGTACCAACATAGAGCTAAATGACAATTAAAGAATAACTCATTCTGGGGATGAAATTACTGAAATAATATGCGATATATAAGTAATAAGACAATTCCAACTGTTATGCGTTAATAACTTACCTGCTCTAGAATACAGGGTTCAAGACAAAAATTCAGATTACAAAAACAGAAGTTTTGCTTCAGAAAGTACCCTTCAAGTTTCTTGTAATGCGCTAAAAGTAATTTGCTGAATAATGTTTTTTGTGAAGTTGAACATTAGCAGCCTGGAGCATGTGTGTGGGAGGTGGGAAATGGAGTAAGAGGGGAAAAAATGGAAATGAAGAGTGGAGATATCATTATCATCTATATAGTAGCTTAAGATATATTCTGTCTTAAATGGGTGCCTTGTGTCAGTGTGTTCTGCATAGTCTATTCCTGGTAACCTCCAGGTGGTGCTTTTTTATTGCTCTGCACTCTAATGACTATATTCTGTAAAATTTATCCTTTGGGACTCTATTTCTCTGGTAGTTTTTTCAAATTCTGTTTCTAATAATGATGTGTCTTTTACATAGGAGAAAAGAAAAAAACTAGAAGTAACAATAGATCCTGCCAAATATATTTGCAGTAACTGTTAACCATTCTTTCTTGATGTAGTATAACTGGAAATTTGTGTTTTGAGAGCAATTTTTAAAAAATAATGCAAAATATATGTAATTTATAGTGTACTTTTTATCATTTTCTGTAATTATTGGCCTTTATCTGACTGTAAGTCAAATGTGTAAATTCATTTGCTAAATTGTAAAATTTTTCGTGAAACAAAACTAGTTAAGTCAACTTTTAGGTGTTGGTAACTGGTGATGAGAATTTCTGTAGGCTGAAAACTTCAATAAATATGCATTTATGTCTTGAAAATGCTCTGTGTTGGTAGAGCTTCAGCTGGCACTGGTGCAACCTGATGTGTCTTGAGCAACCTGATGCTTTTGTGGTCTCTTCTTCTTTTCCAGAAAAGTGAGGATTGGAGAGAATAAGAACAATACATTAAAAATTTTGTGGCAATGATATTTTCTGTTTGCTAAGAGTGCTATAATATGGGGAATTCTGCTGAGTCTACTGAAAGAATTATATGCATATGGGCAGCAGAGTTAGTAGGGATGTGATTCTTATTTAGGGTATAGAAGATACATCAGGAAGAACAAATTAATCAGTAGCAGGCGTTTCTGCAACAAATTATTCCATCCCATGTCCATTAGCTCTTCAATGGCTGTAGTGACCATTTGAAATTCTATGTGATGCTATCTCCTAAAAGGAAAAGCAGGACTATAAAACAAAAACAAGTGAAAAAAAGGGAAGGTTATGAGAGAAGAACAAATGGGATTGTATGTGCTATAGTTGTTACACCATATATATACACACTAGTTAATATAGTTAATTTATAGCTGTATTTAAACTTTCTAAATGAGCAAATTCCTTAAGGAATGGAAGAAGTAATCAATAATACTACTGTGCCATTACCTGCCAGTGAATAAACCTGTAGACTATTTACATTTATATGCAGTGTTGGCTCACAATTTAACTGCAGTTGGTGTTAACTTCTAAAAATCCAGTCCTGGCTGTTTTCCTTCCAGGCCACCTGTGTGGTCCTGTGAGGATCAAAATCCTCAAAGAAAGCTGTGTTTCCCACAGTTTCTCAACAACTTTTAATTTAAACAATCTGTGTGGAATGAGTTGCTCACCCAGATGAGTTGGGATTTTACCATCATCATCTCTGTTTTTACAGCCTATATCAGGAATCCAGAAGAAAAATGTAGAATTTGTTTATCTGTGTGTTGCAAATGTTGGTTAGATGTCAGTAATCGACATGAGGTGCAGACATCTCACTCTGGACAAAGTGGTAATGTTAAGTGGTTGGAAGTAGATAGCTAAATAGGACATAGGAATTTTGGCCTAAAATTGCCTGGTTTTCTCCAGAGACAATAAAGGCAGTCTAAGGTGAGTTGTTTTATATGTAGACATGCACAGCATAAGTGTATTTCTGTCTATCATCTGGGCAACATTTTTATCTTATACAGATTATATAACCTGTATAGAATAGTATACAGAATATAAATAGAATATATATAGAATATAACCTGTCCTTGGAAAAAGAAATTTCTCATGTAAGTCTTTGGCTCTGCTTTTCTAAGGTTTGTTAAATGTAAAATTAGGATTAACACAGTGAACTAACAAGTTTGGCTGGTGGAGTTGTATCTGTTTCCAGATGTGTTCCATTCCTTGTGACAAAGGGAAGGAGAAAATAACTCTTGAGAATGAGGTTTCATGAAAGTGGTCAGATAAGCTCATTCTGGAAAGTATAGAATGATTATTTTTTTGTTCTAATAACCAGGAACATGGTGCCAGGGTGAAAATTTACACTCATGTATTGCAATTTTCCTAAATGGGTGCTTAAACTCCAGCTTCCTTCATTCCTGAGATGGTCTGACTGCAGGGAGTCTGTGGTTGTTTTCTAACGAGTATTTTCCTGACAGTTGTTTGTGTTATCTGGAACAGAATCCATGGAATGCGTTTCTCCACCTTTGAGACATCTTGTGTGAATGATCTGTCAGTAGCCTTTACAGCCCTGAACATCAGTTCAGCTGAGAAGCTTCTGAAAGTTCTGTATTTCTTGGTTTTGTAATTAGCTCTCAGTGTTATTTCTGAGCTCTGTAGGTGCACTAGGTTACTGTTGCTACTGGAGCTTTCACTGAGCGCTCTTTTAATTCCCAAGGAGTCCATGGAACAATGCTGGCAACGGGTTCAGGCTCCCCAAGGAAAGGAACAGCAAAGTGGGATGGGCTTTATAACCTCTGTGCTTGCAGGGTCTTCAGAGGAGTGATGTAGTGACTCTGTATAGCCAGGTACCTGATTTTTTCCAAAGTGTTTTTCAATTTTTTTTTCAATTTTTGTTGTGAAATAACCAAGAAACTTCAGAAGCAGTATTTTTATATTTGGTTTATTTTTGACATGTGGAATGGAGTTACATTCATTCCATGATGGATGGAGTCATGCATTTGAAAGTAAGACATATTTACCCAGCTTATTTGGTAGCTGCAGGACTCTATGGATTGTGCCGTTTTTTAAACTTTAATAAATGAACTGTATTTGCAGTAGTGGAAACCCTGGTGTGATGGAGTTCGTATTTCTTGTTTTATATTTTTCTTTTTTTCTCTGCCTCTGTGCTTTGGTGTGCCTGTATTTTTCTGGCTGCCAAGAAATGACATATAAGCATGAAGGTAAGAAGTTACTGAAGAGCACGTCTGATTGCATTACAAGGAAATATATCTTGGATCTTTTTCATCATGTTTGATTAGATCCTTAAAATGAGATATTTAAATGTAAAATGAAACTCCTTTAGCAACAGAGAAATCAGATTATATTGAAATTTGCATATAATGTAGTTTATGTGTCACTATTGATTTATAGTAGTCTAAACTGAGATGTTTACTGAGCACCATAATTCAGAAGAAGTATTAATACTTGAGTTATAAAGACCTAATACATAATTTTACTTTAAAATTATATGAAAACATCGCTATAAATCCACATGAAAAATACTTGCTATTAAATGCATGGCAGTGGTCCATGGAAGTTAGAATTCAAATCAGAATTTTTCTGCTATTTACATGACTATTTTCTCAGTTAAGAAGTTGTGATTTAGAAATAAGAAATTTGCAAACAAATATAAAGCAGTCACTAAGTTGTTAACTCAGAATGTTCCCATTTTTAAAAAAAGTTTGAATGAAACTTGAATAAGCATAGTTTATATAGTTACAAAAATCCAGTAAGTGTTGTGCATTTCTGTATACTTTTCAGAAACTGCTGGGGTTCAGCTTTTGAGGCATGTGTGGAATCTCCCTTGGAGTTGTATATTTATTGATACTTTATTATTTATTGCAGTGTTTATCTACAACTTTATGACTCACATGTCTTTTTTTTTTTTGAGTATTTTTAATTTTTTTTTCTCTCTCTACAGCTGTTCCCTTGTGAATTAATTTGTTTTGGTTTTGCTGTGAATCAGTTCTTGTAGTTGGTTGTTTCAGATACTAGATGATCAACAGTAAAACTGGCTATTTTGTAATTATGTCATGAAGCAATTCATACATGTGCAGGTAATATACAGTAATTAAATACCTTATCCCTATTGCTATGGAATGGATCTGCTCCCTAAAATTATAAATATACGGCTTTTCTAAAAATGAAGGAGTCATAAAAAGAAATGGTTCACTTTTAAATCCAAATATTACAGGTAGTCTTTATAGCATTTGAAAGCTTTAGGCTTTTAACTCTCCTTTAAGTGTTGGGGTTTTTTAGTGTGATGGGAAATACTAAGGGTTTTTTTCAGAATTCCCTCATATCTAATAATCAAGTGGTTTATTTATTGATATTGTATATTTTTCCCCTACTTTTGCTACAAGTGAAGTGTTCAAATTATTTTTCACAATAATGACATTGCTTTAGATATTTTCTCCAGCCTGTATACCTTTATTTAAAATCAAAATCACTGTTGTTTGGCTAATGTATTTTCATTTCTTGAAGTGGCATGGGTGGGTGGGTGTGTGCAGGGTTAAAGGAAGATGTGTGTTTGACCTTAGTTACCCAAAAGTTACTGTACAGCAGAGATGTAGCAAAAAAATCCCATAGGTAGGTCGGTTTTATTGTCACTTTTAGTTCAGCTGCTGCTGACCCCCATGGTACTGTGATCTCTGTGCCATGTGATAATAAATTTGAGATTTGTTCTCCATCTTTTACAAGTCCCTACTCCCAGCCTTTGCAAAGTCAAGACTTGACGCTTACTTTGTTTACTGGCTGCCATCTTCTTTACCTCTAAAAAATGTACCTTCTTCTTGATGAAACTATCTGCAGATCACTTTGGAGTCAGGAAATTGAGTTGAGCTAGCTGCTCAGATTGTAAATTTGTCTTCCTTACAACTTGAAGTAGCACCATTTCTTCAGCTGTATTTTCAACTTCCAATATGTATTTGTAGTATTACTGTTACACAGTTGTAAGGTGCAGCCAGTATTCAGTGGGGGAGAAGAGCTGGATGGGTCATATCCCAAGGACTAGTGGCCCTTTGTGTTTTGTGGCAAGCCTTTGTGCTAGTGAAAGAGAAGTCTGAAATGGTTTTAATTAAAATGTGAGTAAATACATTAGCTTTCTGGATAAGTCTTTGTATTTTTAGCCTAGAGCTTAAACCTATTCCTTGTGCCCTGTGTTTTGTTATGTAGGGCAGAAAGGTGAGCTGGTGAATGCTGGAAGAAAGGATTAGATTATCCCAGGGAACTGTTTGTGTTAAGCACCTTGGACATAGCTCTGCCTGGTGAAAGATCACAGTGCTTCCTGAACAAGTGAGGAAAGAGTAATGTCTTTCCAGCACTGTGGCATAATAACTGTGATCCTATGAATTCACAAAGTAATGGTCTAGTAGCTTGCAAAAGGAAATTTCTTTCTCAAGGTTGTTTGGAAGCTCTTTGCCTTTTGTGCTGCATCATATTTATCTGCAGGCATATGGATAAATGTAGTCTGTTTAGAAAAGAAATGGCTTTTTGGGTTTCTGAATTAAAAATTTTTAAGTACTGTTTTTAGGGGTCTTCTTAAGTGAAACAGTTGAGTGATCCAGGACATGACCTTGGAGCTGTCTTTGGCAGTTGGAGTGGAATTAGATGTACCTTGAAACTATTATGGACTTGTCCAGCTTATGAGGAATGAGGTTGTGACCTGGTGGACCGTGGTGACCAGGGCTGCAGACTGGAAATGGAGCACATGGTGTCATGAATGCAGCAAAAAGTCACAAGCTTGATTTTTTGGTACCCCTTAAATAAAGACAGAGTATTTTGACTGCTGATGGGAGCTGTGCTGAACCAAAAGGATAAAGTGGGTGTTAGGGCTTTGTGAGAAAGAGAAGACCATACTTTTGTAGATATAATGGAAAAAAATCTCTAAGGTTAGGTAAGTCTGGAAAACTGCAAGGAAAGATCAATATTTGGAAATCATCATGAGAGAGGGCATTATAGTTAAAACTTTTCAGTATCTTGAATTAAATTGATTGATAACAATTCTTTGCTAAAATGTAGGATTCATGATATTTGGAATTAATAACAACTGATAACTTTTTTAATCCTTATGGCTGTTTTAATGAACAAGCTATTATCTTCTCATAGACAACCTCTGTTATGTATTTGAAAAAGACTCAACATCAGGATCTGTGCTTCAGTATCAAGCAGTGGCAAAACATATAGAGATCTTTCTTCTTCTACTTACAGCCACCTCTCTCCACTACCCTCTCTGTCTAGGCTGCTTCATAACCTGAATCCATTTTTCAGCAACATCCTTTAAAAAAATATTTTCAGTTTTCTTGCTTCTCTGAAACTGTGTTGGATTTGTGTGGTGTAAGAAATTATGCTTTCTATTGATTAATAACAGTTAAAAACCTTTTTTTCTAGTTAAATGTGTAAACAATTTTTTTAAACGGTTGAATTTCCATGGAAATGTGCTGCTTTCTGTGACTATGTTTATATGAAAAATCAACATTTTCACAACTGATATTGTACTAATTTCCACCAGCTACTAATTTTCTCTAATTTTCTCTAGGCATGCATTTAATTGATAATGTTGTGCAAAATTTTTAAAATCTGCAGTGCAATGCTGCTTTTCCCTAGACATGTTTTTTTGGTTAGACATAGTATTGGAGCAAACTTTTTGAAAAAAAAAAAGAGAATGATGATATTGAAAAAAATAAATGGTAAGCATTAATTTATACTTTTAAGTAGGGTTTTCCAAAATAGGATTTTTTCCTTTTTGCTTTATTTTTGCAATTAGTATGAACAATTAAATTTGTTCCACCTTGGTCTCCAGAATACTTTTTTTGCTTTTGATTGCACATGTTGTATGTTGCATTGTAGTGGCTTACTTTCTTCTGAATAGATATTGGATTTCTCTACTGTGAATCTTGTAAGGACTTGTGTGATTATGGTAATTAGGTTTTATAGTTTTGCTAAAGCATTTTTCTTTTGGTATTTACCTCGCCTCTATTCTGTGTCCAGTTCTGTTCTTGGAGATTCTTCCACAAATGATGTTGGAAATGTAACTTATTTAATCAGAGAAGAGTTTGCACTGGAACCTTTATTTATTTCTAAATACTAAAATAATCATCAGAGAAGACCTTGGTAACTGCTTACTGGGTCACTGGGGCTTTTCATCTGTTTTGCTACTAGCTAAAAAAACCTAATTTTTCAGAGGCATGTTGTGGAGACATTTTTTGGATTTGATGAAGAATCTCTTGATTCAGAAACTTCATCTGTAACTTCATACAACACGGATAAAACAGACAGGACTCCTGCAACCCCAGAAGAAGATTTGGAAGATGTAAGTGGTAACTGATTCGTTCTTCTTTCTATCTCTTGAAGTATAAATTCAAACTTTCAACCATTGTACCACATGAACTGTGAATGATTTGGCAGAGAATTCCTTTGGGTTTTTTCAAGTGTGGTAACATATACACTTTGCAATAAAATTAGTAAGATAATATTCTGCCTGACAGATTTGGCAGATATTCATGTGAGAAATTTTTTTTTCCTCAAACTCTTTCTTATTAGTCAAAAGAAAATGAATAGGCATATTGCTTTGCCAAAAGTCAATACTTACTAGACAATAGTTTGCCTTTCAACCATTTTATAATTTATTTGACTGTTTTGATACAATCAGGATTTTCTTTCTTTGCTCACAATACTCAGAGAGTCCTTTGCAATTCATGAAGTCTTAAGTGATCATAGGTAGTAAATACCCAGTGACATGTTTTGTCCCAGCTCTGTGATACACACTGCTGCTGGCCTACTTTGGAAGATTGCGTGCGTGAGCACAAAGCATGAATTAAATGCTCTTTTTCTTCTTTCTTTCTTGTTCACTAACTTCTGCCTAATACTCCTCAGAAGAAGCTTCCTTTTTTCTAGGTTTAGTGTCTAATAATATTGTAATCTCTTTCCCTTAGAACTCAAGTTCCCGGAGCAAAAATTAATTAAAGCGAAGGACACTTCTTGTCCTCAGCAGTATAGGAAAGACCTTATAAGTGTTAAAGTTAATGGCTCAAAATTCAAGGAAAAGAAATACTTCAAAAATACTTTGTATTAAAAGAATAAATTTAAGAAAATATCTTTGAACTAATTTTGAAATTTAACTTCCGTGTCAGTGTGTTTTACGCTGGCATGATAGAGAACAAGTGTAAAGAGGGAAGGGTGAACTGCATGAAAAACAGAACAAATACCTTCTGAGACCCCTCTGGCTCTGGAGTTGCTGAAGACAATGTTGCACAAAACTGTTTCCTCTCATCTTTCCCCTGGCAGTTTTCCCATTTTTGTGCATTGCTGTCTTACATGGCAACTTACACTGTCCTTAAATGGTCTGGTAGACACAGTTACTCATCATCCTTCCTGCCTCTCCTTTGCACTTGTTTTAGGATTTCATACCTTTATTAAACTTTGAGACTTAGTATGAGTTGCTTGTTTGTGAGTCTCTCTTCTGTACAGACAAACCCATTATTAAATATATTTTTACTAACCCACTTTTCCCCTCTTTTCATTAAGAGCACGCCTAAAGAAGAAGCTGAACTCAGGTTTTGCCAGCTAACAAGAGAGTATCAAGCTTTGCAAAGAGCATATGCATTGCTCCAAGAACAAGTTGGTGGGACCCTGGATGCAGAGAGAGAAGCAAGGGTAATTTTTTAACTGAAATTCTTTTAGTTCTGAAATAATAGAAAAAGCTGAAACCATTTGTAATAGCAGGAGGTATCTTTGCAGGTCAGTGAAATGCAAAGCCCAATGTTTTTGAGGATTAGAGGATGACATAAGTAAGGTGATAATTTAAATTCATCTGGTGCAATCAGAACAAAGATGTCATTATACTTTATTCTAGCGTGTAAATATATTAAAAATTTCTATGCTATGAGAGTGATAACCCATTTGAACCTGCAATTTGAATCGTGAGATAATGGATTTTAAAAGAATCACAGGATAGGTTCTTACAGGCACTTAGGTACTTCCATCATATGATTATATTAAAAATCTCCCAAATCTGAATCAAAAATCTGACCCAAATCTTGGTTCTGGCTCACTGGGAAGCAGTTTTGCACAACAGGAAGTAGGGGCTCCTGATGGACACCAGGTTGTATATGAGCTGACAGTTAAAAAACCCCTGACTGTTATCCCTCTACAACTTCCCCAAACCCCAAAAATGGAGAAACTTATTAAATACTGTGATTATTGCATGTTACTGCTTTGCTACATGTGGCCACTGTACTGTGCCACTGCAGTGTGTTGCTAAGAATGCAGAAGGAAAATTATTTTAATGTGTTTAAAAATTCCCTGGTGGGAAAGGACTCAACCAACATACACTTCTTTATTTTTTCCTGTGAAATATAGTTCTTATAATAGCAGAATTACTGCTTTATGGTTTGGTTTTTTTTTTATTAGAGTTGTTAGCATGTTACAAAAGCCTAGTCAATTTCGACCCTCTCTTTTTAAGTAGGATACTTAGCCAAGGAAAGCTATAAAGACTTGAAGATCACTTCTCAAGATAGTATGAGGATGGGGGGCATAACTCCCCATCTGCTATTAAAAAAAGGATTTCAGGGACAGTCATCTATTTGCCACCTATGAGAGGCCATTATATATTTTCTTTGCCTTCATGGGGTTTTTTAAATTTTATTTTGCAGGCGTTTACAGACTGTACTTTTTGTAGTCTTGGAAATTGTTGCTATTTCTTTTTAATGGTGTTTTTGGTACATCCTTGCAAATCCATCTCTGGCGTGAGTCATAAATTTGCTTTTTGCATAGTTTATTTTGGTGGGATGAACATTTCCTATAACTTTTAGGTGAGGCTTAAGGTAAGCAAGGACCCAAAGATGCACAGAAGCAGGAAAAAAATCCCTGCAGGAATATTTAAACTGCTTGGGTGAAAAAGTACCTGAAGTAGGGTGGAAAAAAATACTTGTGATAGGTCAAGGAGCCTCAGTGGCTGAGGGTCTCCAGAAGCACGTGTTTTATGTCCTTTTTTTGTTTAGTACCTTGTATGATCCAGTGCCTTTTAGGGCATCACTGGATTTAGGGGGTAATACCCACTGTAGTGTAGTCGTGAGTGTAATGATCATGTAAATGAGGAAAACTGACCAGCATATGCTGTTTATGGGATATGTAATTTGTTTTGGGTCATTGTATTTCATTTACCTAAATGCTTTTTTCAGTGCTTAATGCATTTCTCTTTCTCCCTTGTTCCTTTTTTCCCATTTGCCTTAAGTTACTAAAGCTTATGGATAGCTTCTTAGAGCTCTTTCAGTTTCTAATTTTTTTTTTCTTCCACTGGTAAGAACTTTGTCAGTGAATTTGAGATGTTTGCAATTTTTTAGGCTAGGAAGGAAAAATCCTGTTAAACTGGCAACATCAAATATTTTATAACATAAACACAAAACCAACTATTTTAATGAAAAACATGAAGAGCTGATGGGACAGCCCATAAAATAATAGAAAATATATTTACTTTTGATTTCTCTTTTCCCCTCTCCCTCCTTCTCCTCTCCCAGACTCGGGAACAACTGCAAGCTGATCTTCTCAGGTGTCAGGCAAAAATTGAGGACCTGGAGAAAGCTCTAATTGAGAAGGGACAGGTAAAAGGCTCTCTTAATGTGCTCTACCACATCATGTTCTCCGCTGCATGCAGCGGTGCCCTGGCCGTCTTCGTTGCTTACTGGTGTGTTGGTGTGAATGGTGCAGCTTGATTGCTACTGCAGCATTTCATCACTCAAATAAAGAAAAGGATTTTGCATTCTAAGAAAATGTCACTACAGACTCATTTTCTAACACATAATACACTAAAGGATAGTATAAAAATAACCATGTGTACATGCACTTTCTGTTCCCGTTGTCATTTGGTGAAGGGCTTTGTCCTCTTTTCCATTTTGTTAGTATTTGTTATAAACTCTAATAACATAAATATTCTATATTTCTACTGGAGAATATTTTTGGTGTCTACCAAAGAAAAATTTTCAAAAACCCCAGCTTCTAGACACACTAGAGATATGAACACTGAGCCTGTGAGGTTAATGGAAGCCACTTGAGGTGTTACTCTCCTGGGTTTAAAGTCTCAGAGGGCCCAGTTGCTTTCAGATTCCCAAACCATCACACAAAGTAAAATCAGGCCTTGTGCTTCAGTATATATAATATATGTAAATACTCATCAAAGATGTGTCTACTGATGCATATTTAATGTGGTCTAGGGCCCTCAGGAAGTCTGATTAAGAGTTATGAGTATGCATTTGCAAGTTGTTCAGTTGTGTGACTGCTAGAACACACAGTAGAAATTGGGGAGATGTTATTTTGTGCTTTATTGTTTGAAGTAAGAATTTAAGTTTGCAGGTAGCTTATAGTAATAAGATAGAGCTAGCTATAGATATACATTTCAAAGACTGATGATCCTGTAGCAGTTCACACAACTTACATATAATGCCAAATGAATGATAACACTATTTTTATGGTTTATTCTTTAAGATGTAAGTAAGATTCTGTATCAATGCAAAGGTTTGGGGATCATATTCAAATTAAGGACAAAAACCATCCATGCTAGCTTCCACACAAACTGCAACTTGCTTAGTGAATTCCGTGTAAATACAATATTACTAAAAACTGAGAATATGTTATCAATCTAAAAATGATGGCCCAATGAACTTCTGGAAGAATAAATGAAACCAAAGACCTCTCAAGCATCTACTGCTGCTATTTTGGTTTGTTGATAAGAAAGATGTTGTGAGCAAACTGCTGTGTAGTTGAAAACATTAACAAGATAGTTGACTGTAGAGTGTATAATGTAAGTACTGTGTATGTAAACAAGAGAAATTAATTTGGATACCCATGTAAGGAGTTACTTCTGTGATTTTTCTGCAAGAGCATTATGTCAAAAAGGTGTATCTGGAAATTGGAGTTTAATCAATTATGACTTTAAGATTCAGAACCACATTTTCCACTTTGTATCTCTGAGTAATCCTGAGAGGGTGAACAGAGATGTGGCAAGGAACACTATGATGTTGTTTCCAGTGGGCTGATTTGTACACTGAGCATTAGCTTTCCTCAGAGGGGATCACAGTGTCTTCCTGGGAGCTCTAGAACCTGCTTGGTTCTCCTGACCTGTTAGTATTTGCAGTCAACAAAATAAATGGTTGTATGATAAACTGAATTCTTTGTGCACTATGTGATTTTTTTAAAAATAATTTTATTACTACTTTGTCATTTAGATGTCATGGTAGTGATGATGATTTAATAATAATTGTGGAATGCTCATTCTGGGAGCCAGCCTCTAAAGTGTGTTTGTAAAGGAAATAATTAATCAAAAGTATATTATTCCTGAAAGTTTCCTGAAGTCTATTTCAGAGCATGAGATTAGAAACTTCTTGTTCAAAAATTATGTGAAGCTTGGTTTATAACAACTTATGTGTAATTTCAAAGTAACTGCAGTGGCTTTTGTTAATCTCTCTTCTGGCTGGACCTGTCCGTATTCCCCCAGAAGTAACACAAAACTAATGATCCATTTCTTCATGGTACATTGAAGTGCATGCATAAGAAATTTTATATTAAGTAAAGAAATTCTTAAAGCATTTTAATAATGGCAAATAATAAATCTAAAAGTATTGGAGTATGCAGTGTGCCAGATGGATGAATGCTCCACTGTCTCAGTGATCTGATGTGTAAATACAATTCTGCTGGAGTTCAGGTTTCCTCAGAAAGTGTGGCTGGACTCCATCAAGAAAGGTGCAGAAATTTATTACTGGTAGAGCAGATTGATCTGTTTTTTCTACTTGTGTGAAATGAAGCAGTTGAAGCTGCAGTCTGATATAGCTGTTGAACCTGACCATGTGGGTATGTTTACCATATCCACATCCATATCCATATCCATGCTTTGAGATGTCCACCCTATATCTGTGCATGCAACTCTTCATTGCTTGACCTTAGTAAAATGCTAGTTAAATACTAAACTACAAACCAGATTTTATTTTCAACGTTTCTTTCACTTGCCTCAAAAATTCTTGACAAGTGTAATGCCTTTCAGTACTCATTTTAGTATGGTACTCTTATAACACCACAGCCATTAAGAGCTTGTTTATCACATGAAATGCATTTTTGTGCATGAGTGGAAAAAGGTAGAGAGAACAGTACAACATGAGATTATTGTAGCAGACAGTAAGTAGAAAAAAAATGTTTTCAAAAATGCTAATTAGACTCAATGTAATACCATAATATTTTAGATTGACATTTCAAGGATATTTGAGGGGCTGGGATATCCAGATTTTATTGATTCCTTATGCAACTTCAGTGTGCAAATATCTTTCTGAAAAAGAATTTATTGTCCTTAATACTTTAGTAAATGCATTTAAATTTTAAATAAATCATCCCTTGAAGCGAGAAGATAATTTGATCTAGAGTTAGTATGGGATATTAAGTGTTGGATATTGTTTTAATAAACCTTTTAGAGCAGCATAAGCAAGGTTATGTAAATAGATTTCTCTGTAGGAAAAACAAGAGCAAATTTTGCTGTTATAATCCATTAAAACAATGTCCAGCAATGGCTGGCCATGAGTTTTTGTAGCTTGGCTCTTTAAAGGGATATTTGATGAGGCCTTTTGAGGCCATGGGAAAATCTAAAAGGAAAGATGTGTTTTGGAACAGGTGATTAATTGGAAAGAGTTTCCAAATGTATACAATGTCTTGCATCACTTCCCTTTCTCCACAGCCTTGAATTTCTTGTCACAAACACTGTGTATTAGCCAGATTCTCAGATTTTTAGCAGAGGGTGATTACCTTGATATTGCTGAACTTCTTTTTGGTCATTTGGGGTAGTAAGCATTTTCATCCCTTTCTCCCTTTGTATTTGTATTGCATTACTTAAAATGGGATGATTTTGTAAAAAAGTTTCCAAACCTTTGCAATGGAAAGCAGTAGTTTTGAGTTCAGCTGAGTAAATAAATGTTTTAAAAATGACATAAAGCATATAACTATGGTAACCCACAATTGCGACATGTAAAGAATTTAAAGTGCATGCTAGCTGAAACATACTAGGAAACAAAAGACTGCTACAGGAGGGAACTTTTATTTTCACTGTAGTATAAAATGCTGTACAGCCTTGAAACATTTATGATGGCTTTATTTTTCACTGTGTGACCATTTTGTGCTTGTCTGAAATCTGATTAGTGTAGGCATTCATTTGTCTTCTTTAACAAAACATGTATTTTCCTCACAGGATTCAAAATGGGTAGAAGAAAAGCAGCTGTTAATTAGAACAAATCAGGAGTTGCTAGAGAAGGTATGTGGGAATATTTTCAACATTGCTGCCCTTTATTGTAGAAGAAATTGAATGCACTAAGTACTATAAAATCAGCATGAAATTGCTTTATTTCTCACCAGAAACAGAAACTTAAAAGTCTCTGATTGAAGTACCAACATGCTTTTATATTCTTCAGAAATCACAGCTGATTTTATTGTGGAATAACATGGATAGCCACCAGAAAGGCCCAAGCTGGCTGAGGTTTCTAGTGTCAAACAAAACACACGGTTACACAAAGATTATTATTTCCTGACCACTAACAAAACTGCCTGCTCCCTTCAAAATTTTTATAGCTTTTCCACACAATAATAATGCTGATTGATTTAAGGGTTATTATATTAACTGTCTGAGATACTCAGAGCTGAGCATCTGCATTGTTCTTAGTTGATAGTGGTGGGAAAGTTGGCTAATCAGCTCAGGAAGACAAAGAACTGATTTTGTTAATTATTAGCTTAATATTAATATAATACAAGTAAGATAACCAAATAAAATATCATGATTAAAAGAAGCTACAGACAGGTTTAATTTACTTGGACACTTAAATGGGCACTATAAATGTTAAAGTGCATTATGACAGATGCTATACTTCTATGTAGTTTTGTACAAAGAAAAAGATCACCCAGTTAAACTAGACAGCAGACCAAAGCTATTAGTTGGCATAATTAATAGCCAGTATTGAATTTCTGTTTTGTCATTGTTAGTACCCCCAGGCAAAATTCTGGCAAATTAAAAAGTAGTCATTAAAACTACACCCTTATTGTCTTTCATATACTGTAAAAAAATTAGATGTCTAATTAGGCAAAGACAATGAGAACAGTCTACCCAAATGTTAATGTAATTCAGTTTTTAATTTGCTGTATTTTAAAAGAAAACTTCTACTGCTTAACTTATTTAGATACAATATTCATATCACTTATGCTACTTCCAGATTATTACTCTAAGAGAACATTGACCATTTTCTGCTGACAGCTCTCAGAAATACTTTCTGATATGATCTTACTTTTTATCTACATGACACAGCCTGATGTGTAATGAAAAATGGAAATAATTAACAGTTTTGTCTAAACCCCTGGCTTGTACCTCTGTGCAGGATCTTTTCTAGTGCTTACAGTGTGTTCCCATGTTGTGTTTGTCTCACAGATTTACCGAATGGAACAAGAAGAACATCAGCTGAAGAATGAGATGCAAGATGCAAAAGACCAGAATGAGCTGTTAGAATTCAGAGTGCTAGAGCTTGAAGTAAGAGATTCTCTCTGTTGCAAACTCTCAAATGGAGCAGAAATTATGTTTGAACCCAAGCTGAAATTCCTGTAAAGATTACTGATGTCTGGTGCATGTTTAAGGGAAGTCACTTAGGTATCTATTTTTTAAATGTTGTATCTTGGGAGAATGAAATTGATGCCACTGCCTTAATATGTTTTGGAGAGAATGCTCACTAATGTTTATAAAGATGTAATATAGCTAATATAAATTGCATATAGTTTGGTTTTCATCTAATAAAATATTTTGTTTTGCAATATTTTGCCTTTTTTATTTGTTTCATTTCCATAACTCCTCCTTTCCTGCATGTAAAATCACTTGGTATGTATTCTACAGCCTTGGCTGGCATTGATTAAATTAACACACCTTCTCACATCTTGCATGCAGTGATCTGATGAAAGATCTGACATGTCCATCACATCAATGTAGAATTGCTTTAAATTTCATGGATTTAATGTCGACAACATTCATGTGAAGTAAATTTATCTTAAAAAGAACACATTTTGATAGCAGATTCCAAAGAATTCCTCTTACCTTAAATCCATTTTCTCATGGTTTAAAGTGGTCATGGACTGGAGATAATTGGCTTTAATCAATGAACATGAAAAAACCCCAAACCTCTGGCAATGCCAAAGAAAAGTGGTAAAGCAGAAATATAACTTCTGTGTGTTAAACTAGTATGTTGCCTGTACCAAAAAAACGCCATACTTTGCATAAATGAAATAAGCCAAATTATTTTGTTAGCACTGAACATGTAGCCTGTGATGACAACTGAAAGCAATGGTTCTCATCCCCTCACAAACTGGGCTCATGTTGAATTTAGCACTGCAGTGTCTGTGTGTGATGCACAGTTGTCACATGGTTGTATTGCCTGATGACACATTGTTCAGTTTCAAAGATCACCAGCATTCTTAACACTGCTTAGAATAAACTCTCTGACAAACCTGTCATTGTCACTCCTCCATTTTTACCACCCAGCACGTTTCACCAAAAATCTCAGCATGTGTAACTTCTCTGATAAAGATGAAAATGTCATGTCTTCCCGTTATGTGGACCTTCTTTTTGTCTGACATTTCTTAATCTTTTTTTCATCCTTTATCAACCATATGTTTTGATGTCGTAGCCCATTATATTCAAAATTATGAATTTAGGTTACTAGAATTTCAGTAGATGTTCAGAAAAATATATATGCATTCTAATACATATCTTTATATTTTATGAAAGGATTGTAAAGAAAAATAGAGAACAATTTAGCATTTCAATTGGCCATTGCACTAGAAATTGCTTCCTAAAGTATGGGTGTTCTTAGAAGAAAAACTGTCCAAAAGAGATTTCTTAAGGAACGAACAAATATTCTTCAACAGATCCTTCATGAATGTATTTTTCACATAGAAGAATCACATCAAAAACAGCTCAGTATGTCATGTAAGATTTTGTCATGTGCCAAAGCTTGGAAAAATTCTTTCACAGAATAACAATGGAAGTATTTTTGTGTGATTGCAAGAAAAGATTTTTTCTTTAGTAGACAAGCATGTAGACACCAATGTGACAATGGAATGCTTTTGAAAAACCACCAGTTCTTCTGGTAATCAGGACAGAACTTTTTAGCACAGTTATTTCAGATGAAAATTAGGTAAAGTATAAAACACAATCATTTATTTATCAATTAAAGCAAGTTTAGGTGAGATGAATGCAATAGCAACTGATGAATTTTTTACAAGATCTAAAATCGTAACTGAATTTGGATAAGAATTAAAGTTCTGGTTTTGGTTTACAACAGTTAAGACATTATTTAAGCCCATTTCAGAATTAGACTGTTGATGTAAATATTATTTTTCAAAAACCAAAGAGGGGGGAAATCACATAGACTACAGAGATTTTTCTCTCTACACAGTAGTTTCAAATTAGGTTTAACCTAATTAATGAACAAGATTTGCCATGCTTTGTAACTGGTTTAAGTGAATGGATGTAGCCTGCCTGCCATATCAATTAAAGCAACTCGTTTGTGATTTAGAAAATGGAGTAATACATGGATGGTCATAGGAACTGAAGTGTTTGTAGTAGTGGTCTCTCTGAGAAAATGAAGCTCATGTTGCCAAAGCATCCCCTTGCAACATGGAGATGAAATCTGGTGTTTCTTGCTCATGTTCTTGTGGCCAGAGAATTCAGAGTAAGACCCCATGCCTTGGCTGCCCAGAGCCTTCAGTCCAGTCATTTTTCACAAGCACAAGTTTTATTTAGACAGAAGTTGCTTGTTTGTTATATCTGCCTTCTGAAGAAATAATAGGTTGGTAATTTTAAGAAAGGCATGGAAGTCATGTTGATGGACCAGTTAAGTTTTAGATATTCTAAATATCTTTAGATAGATAAGAATTTATATTTTTTTGTCACAAAGAACATCTTAACTGTAGAATAGTGCTGCCTTTCAACATACTCTAGTATCTTGGCTTTTGGAGTGAATGAGGATTTTAAATGCTGTGATAGGAAGATAGACTGTAGAAAAAACAGGGACCAAACACACAGGTTTAATTCTAGTGAGAAAATATTCAATAATACTATTTCATGATGGAGTTTAAATTTTTTTTCTGCAGATTTTTCTTTCTAATTTTTTTTATTGTTCCATGAAAGAAAACAGTAATTAAATAAGGTTATAATCAACATAAAAACCTGCAGAGTATTTCAGGGCTTCAGTCAATTAGGGCCAGTGTTGCAAGGGTTCTGCAGCTGGGAGTGTCACATTGCAGAAACTGTGTGCATGGAATCAGCTGGCAGCTAACACAATATTTGTATTTAGCCAAAATTCTTCAACTATGGTAAAAGTAAGAGGAAATAGAATAGATCTGGAATGAGAGTAGGAATCTGCCTTTTAATGTACAAGTATGTTTTGTAAAAGTGGGGAATAAATGTTAATGTATATTCACAAATGTTATTTTTAAACAAATCTTTCCTCAGGAGAGAGAGCGAAGGTCACCAGCATTTAATCTTCATATAACCACCTTCCCTGAAAACAATGGAAGTGCACTTCAACTGTTCTGCCATCAGGAAGGAATAAAGGTATATGCAGAGAAACACTAGAAACAGTTGGATGGCTGAACCTTTCTTGAATGACCAGTCTAATATCCAAACAAACCTCTGACACTTACCAGGGAAGAAAATGCAAGAGAAAAAAATTCAGTAGGAAAAGATATTTTTAACTGGGAAAACAGTTTGTAAGAATATGATCTGCTTATGTCAGGAGTTCCTCAGTGAAACTGAAGGCTGGTCAATCAAGAAAATTTACATTTAGTCTAGGGAAGAATCTTGATGTTAATGTGATTCCTTGTCAGGCTTGCCCAGTCCATGGTTCATGATATTAAATGTCTTCATCTGAGTTCAGAAAAACGACATTCAGACCTTATTTTACACCCAGTTTAGTGAAGGCTTTTTATTTGTTAAATGAATATGCTTACGTTATTTGCCAAGGCCAGGGCCTTGAAGCATGAGGTGCCTGGCCCAGAACTCATTCAGATTGGTGGAACTCTTTTAGATCAAGATCAAGGTAGACATCAGGATCTTCCTTGATTACCTTCTGATATAAGGAAGGAAGAATTACTCTTTTCACTCCTGTTTCCCCATGAACAGTCTATTTCTGCAACTTGATTTGCATGCTGGTTCACTTAAGATTGAATTCAGATTTGTGTTGTCAATAATGTTACACTGCAGGGCTGGGTAACTTTTCTACAAGTAACTAAAGCACAATCTCAGTGTCGCTCACTAGTGATTTATGGTTGAATTTTTAGTTGTGTTTACAAGTCCTCTTACAGGAGGCTTGTTGCTGTTCAGTGCTTTAATGAGCACAGCGTGATCTCTAGAGGAAATAAACAGAAATTGTCCCTGCATATTTTTAGGAAGTTGAGTAGTCTGAGAGAAAAGAGTTAAAATCTGCTTCTTACCTACAGATTTGGTTGGATTCTCATCTCCCAAAGCCCACAGAGTCATCAGTTAGCATATCACCTACAAATAGAGCCAGACCCACTTTTAGCTTACCTGTTGTTCTAATCTGCATGTAGGCTGTAGCAGTGTACCAGAATCCATAATCCCTTTTTTCCATTGTCATCTGTGATATGCTTTAACAGGTGCATTCTTTTCAATCTGCCTTTCAGTTTGCTTACCTGGAAGGTGGGGCAGTCACCTAAAATGGGCAGACTGAAATAGTTGACCTTTTTACCTCAGTGCTTTTAAAAATTATTAGCCATCAGTAGCAATGTAGATTACAGAATGATGCAAAATCTGATTTGGTTTCTTATTCCTCCTCTGCATCAGATGGAAATAAATTATTAGAATAATTATTTCTGGCTCAATAGATGCAAGTAAATTCCATTCTTCACTAGTGTAACTCATTGACTAAAGAAGTTCCTGTTTAGGCTTGTCAATGCTCATTGTAATCAATAGTTTTGTTTTTAACATCCTTCCAAACACAAGTGTATCAGGATCTGCACCATTCCAGAGTTAGTGATGTGTACAGTTAAATAGCTCATGTAGCATTTGGGAACACCCCTGAAGTTTTTGGGAAGAGATTGAGGGGATGACTGAAGATAGAAAAACTTGAAAACTGCACATGGCCCTGTGGCATGCTGGCCTTTTCTAAGTGCTGAGTATGAGTAGAACTTGAGGGTGGCAGCATTTAACATTTTTTAGGCTCTTTTGCTTTATATATGTGTATTAAGCATTTTAGACTAACATGGACTGGGCTATTCCCATGCTCTCAAGGCTTCCTGCCTTCAAACAGCATGGCTGCATGCAGGCTGTCAGTGGAAATGATCCCTGGTCCACGTTAACTTCCAGACAGTTCCATGACCCTTTCCAACAACTTTTTAGACTTTAAATAGCGTTCTGGGGCCTAGGAATGGATCCTGGCACAATGTTAAATACAGACATCATGTGAATCAGGGAAAGGTTCTTCACCCTGGGGGTGGTTGGGCACTGGAACAGCTCCCCAGAGAAGTGGTCACAAGCACCAGCCTGACAGAGTGGAAAAAGTGTTTGGACAATGCTCTCAGGCACATGGTGTGACTCCTGGGGATGATGATGTGTAGAGCCAGGAGTTGGACTCAGTGATCTTGATGCATCTCTTCCAGCTCAGCATATTCTGTGATTATGTGATTCCGTGAATTTTTCCTCTCTTTTCTGAATCAGAGGAGTGGTTTTCTTTATTTCAGTGGCTGAGCCTTAATAAGGATGGGTTGTTAAGTTCATTATCTGGGAGCTGAGTGGCAGAGAAATGTGGCTTTCTAATCAGAAAGATGATTATGAGCTGATAAGCTGTTTGGAGGAGGATGTTCAGCCCACTGTGCACATTCCCTTCTGCCACTGTAAGGCTGATTTGAAACTCTGTGGTTTTGTTTAACGAAGAAAATAAAAAGCAAACCACCAAGCAAATTCTGAACAATTTCTTTCTTAGCAATTACTTGTTCATACTCTCTGTCCTTGTAACTTCTGTAGCTTCATGTGGTTGATGTTCCACTTGATACAAACAAACAAAAAAAAGTCTTTTAAGCCCTTTCTCTTTACATCTTTTAAACCTGTTTATCAGTTTTGATCTTTCCTCTACACACATTAGCAGGATGAAAAGTGTGAACGATACAGGAACATTCTGCCCTCATGTGCAGACATTCAGGTTGCTTGTTATAATTCACAGTGACTTTTGGTTTTGTCTTAAAGTACCAGTAATTACTTTTGTAATTGTGATGCAAAACTATGTTTCACTTATTTACATTTAAAGTCTTTTCACACACAGAAAAGAATAAAGGGTACATAAAATATAGCATATAAAAACTGTTTCTGACCTACTTCATAAAAAATAAGTGTCAAACATCTTTTTCAGGACGTGAATATATCTGAACTTATGAAGAAGCTAGATATTCTTGGAGATAATGGGGTAACATTTTTTACTTTTACATGTATCTCCAGTTTCATGGTTAATTTAAAGCATTTGTTTTCCACAGCAGATACTAACATCCAAGACAGTGCACAGGGTGATTTTTTTATGTCTGTGTTTGTATGAAGAACATAAATGCTTAGGAATGGCTTTTACAACATGAAAATTTTTAGTTAAAATGATGGTAGCGAAAGGAGTATTTTTTTAAGGTAGGATTTGGTCTTGGCCAAATGATACATTAAACAGGCACTGTAACAGGCAAAGTGAAAAGATGCAAAACAAGTCAAAGCCAGACCAAGTTGTGAATTACCCCTCTTGAGTAGTAATAGTAGCACATTCTGCTGTGAAGGCTGTCACTGCCAGGAGTGGATTTTTCTGGGAGAAGGCAAGGAAAACTTTCTCCCCTTTTCCCTCTTTATTGCTAAATACAGTATAAAATCTCATTTGGGGCACAAACATCCAGGGAGCTGAGTCCAGTTTATAGCTAGATTTAACAGATTGAGGTATTTTTAATACTAGTTTTAAGTTCTAGATTTGCATGTTATGTTGCAAGTCCTGTGGAGGTTTCTATGGCACTTACTCTTTGCATTGTTTTCTTTAATTGGAAGTCTGAAGTGCATGAAGGTGAGATTCACTTGCTGCAAGGCTTAGTCCAGTGAACTGGCAAAAACGGGAAAAAAATTGCAAAATCCCTGACTGAAACCACTTAATTTTTGTTGAGTGATCTGTTGAAAAAATGTTGTGAGGCTGGTGTGCTGAAATAGAGTGAAACTAAGCACCCTTGGTTTAATTTTCAGTACTTTCAGTCATGGGATCCTTTTGGTCATGTCTATAATCCTAAATGTTATAATTGATTTACTTTTTGAAGTATGGTTAAAACTTACTGCTTGTGTTAAAGGATGAATTTTTAATCCAATTTAAAATGCATCTTTTTGTATTTTAGAATTTGAGAAATGAAGAGCAGGTTGCAATAATCCAAGCTGGGACTGTGCTTTCCCTCTGTGAAAAGGTAGAATTCAGTAAATATTTTTCTCTGCTAAAAAATGCTGTGTCTTCTAAGATACCTCATAACATTGCCAGGGAAGCATGGCTTTTCTGTTCAGGTCATCTGGATTGGAGCATGTATTCATTCTTACATGAATGTTGGGATTGTGATGTCTTGAGGTAAAGCCAAACTTAAGAAAGAAACCCAGTTTAAAAATAAAAACATATTTTGGAGATACTCCCTTAGCATAAAGTACTAAAAATCCACTTAACACAAGAGACTCCATTCCCAGAAGTGCTGGTGTCCTTAGTGCTCTGGGAGCAGTTGTAAGGTGCCCATGGTCCTTTTGGGCTCATTTCTTTCTGTGGGTGACTGAAAAAGCTCACAGTAGTCAGTGGTCCTTTCCTCTGTAAATCAGTGGACATAGAGAAAAAGTAGTTTGCACAAGACAATCAGGTCACTCATTTCTGTATGGCTAGTTTTTTACTTCCAGACAATATAATCTGTATATGAAAGGGGTGACATTTAGAACTAAGAAGGACTTGCATATTTCTCTGAAGAAGCTCTCTGCATCCTTTTCATGTTTCCATGAAATCTTTCCTGATGTATTGTTGAAATTCAGAATCAGATATTTTAAATTAAAATTTGAGCAGTTTTAATAATTGCTTTAATTGATATAATTTTGATAATCTACTTATCTAAATGCCATAAAGTAAATAATCTACATTAGGTAATTTAATAATCATTCATTTAAATGAGTAATTGCTATAAGCAAAATAAAAATGGGGAAGAGGGCTAAAATCCTTATGGTTTTTCACTGGGCTGTGGCATTAAAAGAGAAGGAATTTTAGCACTTCACAACCAAAAAATGAAAGGAGAAGAACCCCACTATAAAAGGCTAAGATGCAGACTCCCAAAAATACTTTGTGTCTCCTGTGCCCCTTGGTTTGTGAAAGGCATAGAATGTTCAGAATCAACATTCAGTTTTGCATATAATTTGCATACCTTAAAAAAAATTAGACCTCTAATTTTTGCAAATAGCCCTTCACTTGATTGAGGGTAGCTGTGAGAGGTGCTCAGGATTTTCCATTTCCACTGGTTTGAAAGGTTCAGGATCCTCAAATATCCATGGTGAGGCTTTCCTTAGGAATATTTTCAGCTTGTCACCTTCAAAATGAAGAAAACAAACATGGTGAAAATAGAATCTCTGGGGAATATGGCGTTCCTGTTGATTTTTTTCCTGTAGGAAGATGACCTGCTAAGCAGATAAAACAAATTTCCATTTTTCCATCAGTCTCTTAAATAGTGGAAGGTTCAAAATGAAGCAATGAATTCACATTTCATAAGTTGTAAACTTATGTTTGAAATTTCTTATGTAAATCTTGGGGAATAAAGCTAATATGTCATTAATTCCTTTGAGTCTGAGGCCTAATGAATTCACCAAAACACTAAATTAAAGGAGTTGATGTGCAAAGGTTACCAAAAGACTTAAAGCAGATATGAGTAGCCCCGTGTTAGTAAACAAGGCAGTTGAGGAGCAATAATTATCAGTGGCAAATCTGCTCTCTGTAAGTTAGTCATGGGTCCTTATTGAAGACTAGTGGGGAAATGAAATTAAATAATTCAGAACTGACCATTCCATCCATTCCAATAAACTTAAATGGAAATATTAACAAATTCCTGATGAGAATTAGTAATTGAGCAAGAGCCTTGTATCCATGCATTTATCTATTACAATGTGTAATTTTTACCTTTGGAATGCAATTGCTGTTCTTCGTTCTGATTATTTTGAATGTCACCACAATGGTAAGGGATTCGTAGTAGCAACTACAAGAGCTTCCGTCTGTCTGTCTGTTTTATTTTTCCCTCTACATGACCCATGTTTCACAAGTGAGCCTTTTACCACAAAGAGTGTAGCAAACTGTGCAGAATTAAGTGTTGAGTTTCTCACCTTGACTTTTGTTTAAATTGCCCTCTGGAAAAATGACGGACTGGAGGCCTGAAGTGAGATGAGGGTTTCACAAATCAGGCCAACAAGCATTTGAGTAAAAAACAATCAGGTTGATTTTGCCTTCTTGACCCAAGTCTATTTTGTTTCTTGAACTTTACAGGGAAAAACCCCATTTAATTTTCTGTTGGAAAGCAACCTCCAGTTGTTTAGTCTTTAGTGTGTCTCTGCAGTTCTCCATTCTGCCTGTGCTCTCACAACCTGTTTATTCATGTGTGTCTCCAGAGTAAATACATAGCATGGGAGGCATATATGCCTGGAAGTGCTGGCAACAAACTTGAAAAATGTTTGGTAGAACCTTTTTAAAAATCTCTGTTAATTTTCTATTTTTTCTCTTCACACTGCTGTAGTGGTTGAAGCAGATAGAGGGGACAGAAGCTGCACTGACACAGAAGATGTTAGACCTGGAGAATGAGAAGGTAAGAAACAAAAGCTAAAAATTCATTTAGCTAAAACTCACATCAAGGGATTGTGCATATATTTCATCCCAGGCAGGTTTGCTGCCTTTCTCTGCTTGACAGAAACGGCGTCATGGTAAAATAGGCAAGTGGTTTCTAGAACAATCTATTGCTTGTATTCTTTGGGGTGAGACAGAACTTCCAAATCTTTATAGAACAGAAATAGCAAAGATATATATGAATTAGGGCACAAAGGCATAACTGGAGAGCACATTAACCAAACAGTGTGAAACTGTCTCTGTGCTTTCTTTGTATATTAATTTGTCAGGCAGCAGCATCATCATTTTAATGTTGGGGTCACACTAGTAGAATTAGCAAGGGTATTTCTTTGCTCTCTGGTTCTCAGCTTCTGGACAAGCTGTCAAGAACTCTTACTCCAGATGACCTTTCTTGCCCCACAGCCTTCATGCCTAAAGACAGAATGTTTTCTCAAAAAGCAGTTCTGTCTTGAAGAACAAACTGACCTTATTTTTCCATATGTTGAACAGTTTTAGAAGGAGTGTTTGGCTTTATTGGTTTACCATGCATGCTGTGCTTCACATCCTCAAATGGTGTTCCAAACACTGATTAATCCTCACCACACCTTTTACAGGTAGATAAATAAGCAGCATTGCATTCATCCTAAAGAATGGGACAATGAGACAGGGAGGTTAAGTGATTTGCCCAGGGCCACTGAAGAAGTGTGTGTTTGAGCCACAAACAAAAATATAAGTTCTGAGACTGTGTTCTCTGTTGAATGTAACCTGTCATACTGACTGTACTTTAACACAGATAAGATACTTTCCACATTTAGTATTTCTTTATTTTTAAGTCTTGTTATGGAAAAATACAAAGGCTTGAGGAAGGGAAAGTGGCCACAAATACTAGAGTCTTTTGTAGAGAAAATTTGAAAAAATAGGGGGTTTATAACTTGATATATTATCTTTCCCCTTATTATCTGTGATGTTTTCAAGTCTTACCATGGAAAGCCCTTGCATCTCTTTGTTTAGCTCACCAATCTGAGAATCTGCATCCCTAATGATTGAATCAATGAGTTGAGAAATTATATTCTAGCATGATACTTTTAGAAGGACTGAGCACTGGTGTAGTTATCCTTGAAACCCTGTTAAGGGTTTGAGGTCCTATTATTGTTTCCTTCCCTCCTGCTTTCTGTGGGCAGCCTTTGCTATCCCTTTTGAGAAGTAACATGATCAGAGCAGCTGCATTGCTATTCTGGGGCCTGGTGGAAGCTCTGACCCATTTTATAATCTCAGACTAGTGAATCTACCTCTGTGGTGTCAGACACTTGCAAGACAGTCAGGACCAGGCCTGTCCTTTGCTGTGCACTCCCAGTGCATGGTGGAGTTTCATCCTGTACAACAGCCTTGCAGTTGCTGTAATTCACCCCTGTCAGAAAATGAGCCACCTGGGTAGCCATGGTGGCATGCAGTTGCATAAACGTGGTGTCTAATACAGTATCACATTGTCCAGAGTTCTGAACTCAGAGTTCTGGAGATGCCCACAAAGGGCTGAAAAATATGTCCTACAGGACTTGTTGGAGGCCCTTTCCCTTCAGGACCAGGAGCATATTTAGAATATGCTGGAGCAGAAGATTCTAAAATGGCTACCATGGCAATAGATGGCCATCTGTTCCCAACCAAATTCCAGCCCCAAGACCAAGGTCTGAGTTAAACTTTGGGTTTGCCTTGAATATTAATTAATAGGTAATTAAAAGAACTCCAAGTTTACAAAATAAATTAATAGTGAATATATACTTCTTATACAGAGAACTAATAGCACCTTATTCCTCTGAATCCCCTAATACTGGTCTTATGTTGCTACTGTCACCAGTTCTACACTGGCAACTGACAGAAGAGTTGTCAGAAGTCCACATATATGTCTGATAGCAAAATTTGGCCAAGTAAGTGACTTTGAGGCAATCCCATATCCTGTAAAACTAATCAGAGCAACAATATTTTAAATTTTTATTATTAGTAAAAGCTGCAATTAGTGATCTTAAGAACCCTATGTATTTAATTCAGCATTTATTCTATATGTGGAGGAAATGCAAAAGTTTGTTGATTAGAAAAAAGAATGATATAAAATATTAAATTCAGTCAAATGGCTTTTCTGCTTTTTGTTCTACTACTAATTCTTTTGATGCTTTGAAAGAAAAGCTAATAAAATGAAGTAACTCTTTTGGTGTTCTACTTACTGTCATCAAACCTGGTCTAGGGGAAGGTGTCCCTGCCCATGGCAGGGGGTTGGATCAAAATTATCTTTGAGGTCCCTTCCAACCCAAACCATTATATGATTCTATGATTCAAAACACTCTAAAGGCAACCATTTGAATGTCCACAACTTGCTTGAAACATCATGTTTCGGATACTGAGTTCCACTGCAACCCCAGTCTGTGGGGCTTATATATAATAGCTGTGAAAGTTGAGGAGTTTGATTTTTAAGAACAAAAGTGAACAATCCCTGTAAATCATAGGTATCTTGAAAACTTCTTCAGCTCTTCAGCTACTCACTCAACCTCTCTGGGCATCACTTCACCTCTTTCAATTTGGCCTCCTGCCTGTACAAGCTGAGGACCGAGATGTTACTTCAGCTTCAGTGACAGGTCACGGGACGGTGCAGCAGAATGCAGCTGTGGCCCTGCATGCTCGGGTTTCCTCCCTAGAAGAACACATTAGACAACAGCAATTAGGGCTTGCCCCATGATTTCCTTAAGGGTAATAATTCCATGGGATATTTGCATAAAGTGCCCTCTCTTGTGTTTCTCTTTTCCCTCCCTTGGCCCTGTGTAAGGTACAGCTATTGGACCACATGCACGTACATCCCCGCTCACCTTTTGCTGCCCTTCTCTAGGATCCAGGCAGGTTGTACACTGGTGTAGAGGTCAATGCTTTCTAGGTACAGCTTGTTAATATGATACACAGATTTGAAGTGCTAATATCATAAATTTGATATTCCAGATCTTAGGATGAACGTGGTCATTTGCTGTGGGTTTTCTTTTGCTTTCAAGTAGAAAGCTTGCATAAAAATGATGGCATTTATGATTCTTCATGAAGTAGGATGAAGAACAAACACTCCCTTGTTTTTATTATTGCTCAGGACCTGTTCAGTAAACAGAAGGGTTATTTAGAGGAAGAACTCGACTACAGGAAGCAAGCTCTGGACCAGGCATACATGGTAGGAAAAGAAAGTCATTAAATTTTTTGCTTGAACAGATCTGATAAAATGCAGGGTTTGTTTGTTGGGTTTTTTTTTTCTTTTAATTATACAAAGGACTCTTTTTTACTTTATATCTTTTTTTTTTTCCTGCCAGACTAGAAATCAACTATTTCTTAAACAAAAGTTTAGGAAATGGATTATAGTACTTACAAGTGTAACATTTTTGCGTTGCATTTTTTATTCTATGATATACAAACATCTTGTTGGTACATCTGGAAGCTGGTTTATGTATGAAAAAAACCCCATGACTGATAAAATACACCAGAAATTACTTAAGAACTTTTCCAGTATTTCTTTTCCTGAAGCATTTGTAAGTATTACTGCTGCTAACCTATCCTAAATCAGGAATGCCTGTTCTTCCTATGCGATTCCTTCCTGTGCGATCCTATCCAACCTTACCCTTCCTCATTTTCAAAAGGGAAACTGCAACCTTGCCTTTTCTCAGGCTAAACAACAATCAGGAATTGGTAAAACTACACATGCAACATTGCTAATAGTGAGACTTTGGAAATCAAAATATAATGTCCTGAAGCACTATTTATACACTGTAAATGTTTCTTATGTGGAAAATGTTTTCAGAGAAGAAGCAAGGTCTAGTGCTCAGAGCAGATAACAGAGATAAAAGCAAGCAGGCACTATTTCTAGCACTGTGACCTTGGGCAAGCCATTTAACCTCTCTGTGCAGCTGTTTATGCATCACTAATATGGATGGAATTACCTACCTCACAAAGGTGTTATGAGGGCCAAAGGGACGTGGTCAGATGCTCTTGATCCAAATATTGTTAGTCTGGATGTTGGGTTTTGATAGCATCATGCTAACCCCACTAATCAAGGAAACACTGCCAGGATTCCTTCCTTTCCTCTTGGGAGTACAATTCTCCACATGAATCTGAAGTTCTCCTGTGTTGTGCGCTTTGCAAAGTACTGCAGTTTTGGTCAGTGCATGAGAATCATGTTAGGAATCTGGCAGACAGCAAGAGATGGATGAGGGATTAGTGCATACAAGTGTTCCTTCCTTCATTGCTTATGGCAACTTGGAGCTAAGCCAGTGACATAGACTGTGAGCCATGGCTATCAGGTCACTAGGACAACAGAGAGGTAGAGTGAGATTTCTGTTCACAGATTTTCCTGTGGTCTTTTTATTTTATAGGATGGCTTAACAATTCAGCTGCAGTTGAAGGAAATCTGTTAGTTTACGTTAAATTTCTAATGTTCATCATCAGGATTTGGAGTTTTAGCAGTTACTGAATGCAGACCTATCTTCTGAATCTTTCTTAAGTAGAAGAACCAATGATTTGCTAGAACAGGACCCATCTCCCAGGTGTCAACCCGTGCCAGGAGGCTGCCTGCACTCTGTGTGGAATGCTCCTCACTGCTCACGCTTGCTGCTTTCTGTCTACCTGTCTGTGTCCATCCTGCCCTCCCGCCTCGGCCTCCGCTTGCTAGCCTTCTCCTCTAGCTCTTGGTGGGTCGTTTGCTTGCTGGATTCAAACGTCAGCCTGTCTGTGTGTGATTTGGGTTGCATTAGAAAATCCAGGAGCTGGAAGCCACGCTGTATAATGCCCTGCAGCAGGACCCAGGCAGGCGGGCGAGCGAATCGCTGACGGAAGCGCAGCGGGAGGATTTGCGGGCGGCGGTGGAGAAGGTGCGGCGGCAGATCCTGAGGCAGAGCCGTGAGTTTGACAGCCAGATCTTGCACGAGAGGATGGAGCTGCTGCAGCAGGCCCAGCAGGTAATCCCGGTTCTCTCTCCACCCCCTTGGTGTTGGTGTTACCTCTGTGGTTGCCGCCACTGCCCGTACGACAGCATCGCTTCACCCTCACCTCGTGGAGTTCTGTTCAGTCTGGTCTTTGTACAGCTCCCGTGCCAAGGAGCCGTGTGGTGTCAGGGCCTGGTTGTGCTGGGCATGGTGCACACACAGAACAAGTCACTGTCTCACCACAAGGTGCTGTTGCACAACCTTTCATGCGTGAGCAACCACACAGTCTTCCACAGGACTCCAGTGGGAGCTTGGTGCAAGTTTAAGGCCTAAAGTAGAAGAAGTCAGAACGGAAGGTTGTTAGAGTGTAGCAGTCTGAAAGGAGTAAAGGCAGAAACAGTAGTTACAGGAATCCAAGTTTTTTTATTTTTGCCCCCTTTTTATTTATTTTAGCTATTTATGAACTCTTTAAAATAAAATAAATAAAAAATCTCAGAAAATCTTTTAAGAGGCCATGTACAAATTTTCACTCCTTTAAATTCTTTCAGAAAAGCCTTGTCTGTCCAAACTGCTTCCTGAAGCACAATTACTGACAACTTAAATTTAGCAAGGTCCTGGCCTATAGAAGTGTGGTAATTATTTAGTACAGGTAGCATTGCTAGTGTTTTGTGCAAATATTCAGTGAAAGAAGAGAGCTGCATGTCTCAGGGTGTTAATTAATTACTACAGCAGAAATAATTGTTTCCAAGGATTTTGGTTCTCCTTTATAGAAGACTCTGGAAGTTGTAGGCAGATGTCCTAGATCTTGAGGACTGCTTGGCTACTTTCTGTGCAAGTCTGAAATCACATATTGTAAATGCCAAAATGTGCTATATAGATGTGTCCAGAACAATGTTATTTCAGGTGCTGATTGGGGTGCTGGGGCAAGAACTGCCTTTAGTTTAGTCCAAGCCTCTCTCTGTTCAGGTTGGCTTCGTAGATGAATATAGATGAAACTGATGTAATGTGACCCTGCACTGTTGTGATCACCTCCTGTCATCCTGCAGTGGTGGGAAGTGCTTACAGTGGCAGTGCTAGACCTGAGCTCTGAGTTCCAAGAAGTTTCCTCTCTCAACTCCTTGACTCTGTTGTGTTGGTTTGGAATGTGTAACACTGAGAGCAGGAGATGAACTTGTTTAATGGGTTGTCACCTAGTTTTAGTCATCAGCAATAGCGCACAGAAAGCTGAAGAAGGTAGGTACCAGCTCCCACTAAAAGTGTCAGAAAGAGTAGGGTAAATATATTAAATTGGGTAAATAAGGATGGAGCCAGAAGATATTAGTTTAATGTTATTAGTGTAGCAGAAAATTAGTGAGAATGGAGTTTTTAGTTAGTCTCTTAGGCAGTCCAATTTCCTAGCCAGACTGTTGGTGTTTTATTCAAAACAGTAACACTGCTTTTCAGTTGGGTAAATATTGTTTGTCGATGATATTTAATGGGTATGAATGACATTGTGTGTTGAGTAATGCCTCTACACCTAAATAATTGTTGATTTCAGATTTTAACATCAGACTAGATAATAGTTTAGTCCTTTGCTTTCACCAGGAACAAGGTTTGACACATTTTGTGTCCCTTGTTAGAGTATATTTTTGGAGTACCTGGGCAGAGCTCATGCAATAATGGCAAATAGAAAGGAAAAAATGGGAATAGACTGTAAAGCGAAACAGTTGTCCCAGAGGACTCAAAATCCATATTTTATGTATATCTGGGGTTTAATTTAGATTTTGTTCTAATTTGTTCCATTGCCTGCTTGCTATCAATTAGAGCACTTTATGTGCACATCTGGAGCACATCTTCTGTTAGTCCAGTTCATGTATTCCCAGATTGCTTCACAACATAAGGCTAAATATGATGAGTGCATAGGAAAACAAAAATGCCAGCATACACATAGCTTCATTAGCCATGGATGTTTATGTACCTGTCTCCAGATCCATTTTATAGGATGTCATTAGAGTTTCGTGTTGTGCCCATCTCATTAGACATGCTAATGTTACAGCCTTGCAGGATATGTTAAACTGAATTCCACTCCTTAACAAGCATCTAAGTATTTTAGTCATCTATTTTTAACACACACACACATGCCCTCCCCCCACCCCCACATTCCCTATTAAGCAGGAAAAACAAAGGCAAAGATGCTAGTTAATTTGCCTGGGCTATTGGAGGGCTAATTCTCACAGGATTACTTTCATCTCACTAGCAAATGACAGAAGCTGAATTTACACAAATGAAACCCCACTTCAGCTGAGAGAATCCTAATGAATGGATGAGGCTGCACTAAGTAAAGTACATCTCTGATAAGTACCCTCCTTTCCTCATGTATTTATATGTCCAGGAAAAATTTTGCTGACATTGTGACATCAGCAAGCACCCACTGCACTTTTTCTGGCAAAACAGTTGTCTAGACATGGCCAGATTTTACAGTCTGCAGTGCCTCTACAGTATGTGCAACACTTCTTCCTCTGCTAAACTGGAGGTTACAGAGAATGACAGGACAACATGACGGACTTGCAAGGCTTAAGACAGAGTCTCCTTGTTGCAAACACTGTCAAACTTTTCTCTGAAACAGAAACCATGTACTAAAGACTTCTATGAAACTTTGGAAGTTCAATCACTTCAGAAGGCCTGTTACTTTGCTTTCATTACCTTCTGGTCTGCCTGATACAAGGGCTTCAAAAGAACAACTCTGCTTATCTGGCAGGCTGGCAACAGTCTTCTCTGAGCCAGTTTCTGTGTTCAAGGAGATTTGGTGATGAAGAAAGAGTTCCCTCCTTCTGCCTATAAATGCTCCTTGACCACACATGCAGGGTGCAGAACTGGGAGGGCATGTGGTGAAAGCTATAGGTTGGTGTGCAAGGTTTCATTATAGATTAATTGCTTCATGCAGGGACTTTGAGGACTTAGCGTGTGAGGTGCTGGTTTCACAGAGCTGGTAAATGCCCTTCCTGGGAAATGACTGTCTGAGAGGGACAGGGATGGGCATAAGGAAATAGGCAAATGGCTGCCCAGGTGTGAGCCTGTGCTGCTTTATGTGTTCTTCTTTGTCCAGATGTAAAGCTTGAGTTCTTGGCCACCGGGTATTGACTTAATTCCAGTGAAATAAAATATCTTAGAAAGTTAGGCTCTGGATTACATTGGTAGGTCTGTTCTTCTTGGGCATGATAGCCCCACATTATTACTGTTCATTAGTATATAAATGGAACCATTCATGTATACCCATTGTGCATTAAGGAAACCAGGCCTCTGTGGAGCTAAATTAGACAGACTGTGTGATTAGATCTGCTTGCTAAGGCACACAACACTTTTATTAAACCCAGAGTGCAACATGCAGGTCTGGGGGACAGATCCTCAGCTGAAATATGTTGGCAGTACTCCCTCTAAGTCAGAGAGGGTGCTCTGATTTACACCATCCTCTCTGTTAGGAGGAGGTAAAACATGTTAATTAAAAATCTGCCATGAGCAGCTTGTGATATTTGCTTCCAGCAATAGGGCATGTGCGGATGTTGCCATCAGAAAAGTTTCATTGTGCTACACTGCTATTACAACCTTTTGGAAATCAATGTCTGGTTTATTTTTAGCAGGGCTTCATTTAAAAGTAACATTTGTGCTATAGTCAGTGCAGTGGAATGACTTTACTGCTTTTTGGAAAATATGAAGGTCATTACTAGCAAGTTCTGTTAAGAAGGGTAATTTTTTATGCATATACTTTGAATCATTTCTAGAGGGAGAGAAAAATGTGTTGTGTAGCTATAAAATCCATCTCTGAGAGGATACTTTAAACAGAGCAATACAACATGTATCTGAAGTAGGGATATTATCTTCCTAATTAAGCAAAGTGGAAAAAAAAAAACATAAACAAAAACCCCCCCAAAAAAAACAGCAGCAGCCCAAAAAATCCCAGTACAGAAAATCCACATAACATCATGGTTAGTTCACCTTATAAATATATTGTAATCGTCTTGTCTTCTAAAACTAGTAACTTTTTAAATGTCAAATTATGCTTTATATAAATCAAAATAATTAAAACCCAAAATATATTCCTGTTGGTTACATAAAATATATATAATATTATAAAATATATTCCTGTTTACTGGAGCTGCTTCTGGAGTAACTGGGGAAAGTCAGCAGAAGCAGGTTTTAAACTAGGATAGATTTATTCAAATTACACTCTTGGCAGTATTCAAACATGAAGAAAATGCATAATAGAAATGTAATTCATTCTGATTTCATCTGAAGTTATTTTAAATCCAAAGAGAAGATAGAAAATCCTTGAAAGGTATCAGACTGACACACAGTTCCAAAAATGGCTGCTGCCAATCAGAAGGTATATGAAAGACAGATTTTATTAATGTTGTCCAGTAATTTCCTAGAGCTTATCTTTGTATAAAATTGTTAGAAAAAAGGAAGATAAAAGATAGGTTAGTTCATTGTGTCATCAAAAAGTGTGATTTTTTCCCCCTAAGTTGTACTAATCTGAGTGTGTTTTCTTTTAACTTGAGTTAGAATATTCTTGGGTGAAGCTCAGTTTTACAGAAGAAAAGAAATCATTACTTTAGTTCTAGACCTGAATATAAGACATATGTGAACTGCTGAACTCATCCAATTCCAGCTTTAAATAGTTGAATATAGCTGTAAAAATTTTAACTATGTTTTCATTAAATTAGGGCATTTACTCCTGTGACCAGATTATTCAAAAGTAAGAAGAGCAGAAATGACCACTTTATTTGTATGTTTTACTAGAAGGAGGCAAATCTTTAGGACAGAGCAGGTACTGACCTCCAAGTGCCATTCCATAGAGGAGGATTCACTGCTGCTGTGGTGCCTCGGGCACTGCTTCTCATGGACACCGAGGAAAAGTCAGAAGCACCAATGTCCTTTTTCACCCTGAAATGTCAAAATATCACTTGAAATTGAGAAACAACAAACTAATTTTCTTCACTAAATTCCTTAGTTTTTTTCCTGACCAGCAGTTTTTTCTGAAGGCACAGATCTTCTGG